TTGTTCATTCCTCTCTTGGAGTTCTTGCTTCACTTGGGTGCTTGGATACCCCACTCTCAGTTTTTCTTCCATCTCACTGGCCACTATCTTATCTTTTTTGCTGGTTCTTCCTATTCCCACCCAACCTCATAACCATCCCCTACTTCTGAGCTCCATGCTTATGGATCCACTTGCCTACTTGGTAACCCTCCTTGCATGTCCAATAGGCAGTTCAAACTTAACCTCTAATTTTAATGAAGTATTTTGTGGAAAAAGAAGAAAAGAAGTTAACATTTACTGAATGTTGACTATTATTACTGTTCATTATCTTGGTTACAACACATCTCAATTTGGATACTCAGTTCTGGTACTCAGGATTCAAACATGAACCTTGGTCAAATTTGATCTGTAGTCTGTGCTCCTTACTGAGAGCTATACTGTAATTCTTTATAAATCACAAAGTACAGAGCTCTAATTTTCCTTCTTCAAGATTGTCTTTTGGAGTAGAGTGATAGCTCAGAAAAAGAAGGATCCCATGGGATCTCTGCTAAATGGCATTAGAAGGGCTTGTATGCCACGCAGTGCTCCAGAGCTGCGCCTCCCCTTTTCCGTGCAGAACGGAGACACAGAGGTGGTTCCAGTGTGCAGACAGGCCTTCTCACCCACAGGGAAAGTCTATTTTGAGTTTTTGGCAAGTTTTTCTTGGTCACTTTCCCAAATTAGAGTTTTCCTGGCCTTCAGATATACCTCTCTCTTATTAGAACTGTTCTTATTCATTTGCTTACCTGGATTGGCCATCTTTATTCTTCGTTTCTTCTTGTCGCTTTCTTTCTTTCTTTCTTTCTTTCTTTCTTTCTTTCTTTCTTTCTTTCTTTCTTTCTTTCTTTCTTTCTTTCTTTCTTTCTTTTTTAAAATTGATTATGCTGTTACAGTTGTTCTATTCTCCCCTTCATTCCCCTCCACCCTGCCCCCCCATCCCCACCATTACCCCCCTTTAGTTTATGTCCATGTGTCTCAAGTCCTTTAGGTTCTATATTTCCCATGCTATTCTTGCCCCCCCCATCTATTTTCTATCTACTGTCTATGCTACTTATTTTCTGTACCTTCTCCCCCCATCTCCTCCTCCCACTCCCCTGTTGCTAACCCTCCTTGAGATCTTCATTTCTATGTTTCCACTCCTGATCTAGCTGTCCTTTTAGGTTGCTTTCATTTTAGGTGTGGTTGTTAATAACTGTGAGCTTGTTGTCCATTCACTGTTCATGTTTCTTTAACTTCTTTTTCTTAGATAAGTCCCTTTAACGTTTCATATAATAAGGGCTTGGTGATGATGAACTCCTTGAATTTGATCTTATCTGAGAAGCACTTTATCTGTCCTTCCATTCTAAATGAAAGTTTTGCTGGATAGAGCAATCTTGGTTGTAGGTCTTTAGATTTCATGACTTGGAATATTTCTTTCCAGCCCCTTCTTGCCTGTAAGGTCTCTTTTGAGAAATCTGCTGACAGTCTGATGGGGACTCCTTTGTAGGTGATTGTCCCCTTAGCTCTTGCTGCTTCTAGGATTCTCTCCTTCATTTTAATTTTGGCTAATGTAATGACGATGTGCCTTGGTGTGTTTCTTCCTGGGTCCAACTTTTTTGGGACTCTCTGAGCTTCCTGGATTTCCTGGAAGTCTATTTCCTTTGCCAGATTGGGGAAATTCTCTTTTATTATTTGTTCAAATAAGTTTTCCACTGGTGGCTCTTCCTTTCCCCCTTCTGGTACCCCTATAATTCGGATATTGGAGCATTTAAAGATGTCCTGGAGGTTCCTAAGACTCTCCTCATTTTTTTGAATTCTTGCTCCTTCACTCTTTTCTGTTTGGCCATTATTTCTTTCTTTCTGGTCCACTCCATTGATTTGAGTCCCAGTTTCCTTTTCATCACTATTGGTTTCCTGTGGAATTCCATTCATTTCAATTAGTTTAGCCTTCATATGTTCCTCTAATATGTGACTAAAATCAACCAATTCTGTGAGCATCCTGATCACCAGTGTTTTGAACTGTGCATCTGAAAGTTTTGCTATTTCTTCGTCGCTTAGATTTATCTCTGGGGCTTTGAGGTCTTCTTGCGACATTTTTGGTCTGTTCTGGCCCTTTAAGTGTGAGAAGCGGCGCCTTGGACTCCCAGGTAGCTGGGTTGTGACGCTGTATGTGGAGGCGTGGTCAGAGCGGGGAAATGGCGACGCCCTCTACCGCGTGGTCGGTCCAACCGCCCACTCCCTCGCCTGTCCGCTCGCGCGCAAATAGGCGACCGCAGTCAACACGCAGCACCGCCTCCCCACTGTCTCCTCTGCAGTCGCTCACCTGGTGGGTTGCTCGGTCGCTCACTAGGTCCAATCCTGCGTTTGGAACCCGTGCGTCTGGATTCGCGCATCTGGATTCTGCGCCTTGGTCCGTCCGACTGAGTCCTCCTGTGCAACCCCTCACCAGACGCTGATTTCGCCCCTTACCGGTCGGGCTGCAGAATTTGTTGTTAATGGACTTCCGAAAAGTTCAATTTTCCATGTTCTGGTTGTGTTTTCTGATGCTAATATTTAGTTGTCCCTAAACTTGGTTGTGTGAGAAGGCACGACACATCCACCTATGCCTCCATCTTGGCGGAAGTCGTGTCGCTTTCTTATTCATTCATGAATTATCAGCTCCTTTGTGTTTGTGACTGATATTTCTCTGTGACATTACTTGTTCAGCACCTGGTACTGCAAATTTATTTGGTATTTCTGATGCATCTTTGTCAACACTTTTCTCGTTAAAATACTGGTTGTCAAAAAAAATTACTTATACTTTATTTATTTATTTATTTATTAAAAAATTATTTATTTATCTATCTTTAGAGGAGAAGGGGAGAGGGAGAGAAACATCAATGTATGGTTGCCTTTCATGCATCCCCTGCTGGGAACTGGCCTGCCACCCAGACATGTGCCCTGACTGGGAATTGAACCGCGATCCTCTGGTTCGCAGGCCTGTGCTCAGTCCACTGAGCTACACCAGCCAGGGCCAAATTACTTATACTTTTAAATAGCAGTAATAACTTAATTTCCTCCCTAAAATCTTTAATGGAAGTGAAAATGTCCAAAATGAGTCTATTCATAATGGGAATACATTTTTAGAATAAATTTTGTCCAGGTTAAAAACCAGTCTGTTCTCAGGTAGCATCTACAAACTCATGTGGTCCCTATGATGTATGTCCCAAGGTAGCTGGAAGATGAGAAAACTGTGGTGAGGTCATTTGTCCCTCTTTTCTTAGCCAGTTAAGGGCAGAGCTAGTGATGTTTCCAGGTGAGCTGGCTTATTCAGACAAAGTTTGTGTGTAGGGTCTGCTGGCCACTGCATGGTAAGGTCCCACCCCTAGGTTTTGCCTCTTGGTGCTCAGAGGTTTCACTCTTCCCAGAAGCCCCCTCACTGATACTTTATTGCATACTGTAGACCTTTCCTTACCACCTTCCCTTATCAGAGTTAACTTATTTTCTGTCTTTTTCCATACAAGTGTCAATCAATCACGAGGCATTGTGGTACTGTGTGTGGATTAAAGACTCAAGCTTCTGTAGATTTGAGCCACTTTTCTGAGCTTCATAGACCAGGTAATTGCTAAGTTTGTTTGCAGCTCCAACCTTTTCAGACTTCATGATTCTGTTTCTCTGATGAGTGAACCTGGACTAATGTATTAATAATTGGCAATGGTTTAATATGCTATACCAGGGATGGCAAATATGTAGCTTCTTTTCCATTTATCGACCATCACACGGAGCCCAGTCGTGACCTCAGACTTCTCAATCACTGTAGTGTTCTAAGTAACTACTACCAATGAATCTCAGTTGAAATGTATTTGTCCTGCCTGAAGTACTATGAGTGCCTCAGTCTAAAGGTGGGACTAGTGGTGGCAGGATGCCATAGACGCTAGGAACATGGGTTCTGGGGCTGAGCGACCTGCATTCAAATCCTGTCTCCACTGCTGTCTTTCTGTGTGACCATGGGAAAGTTACTTACCTTCCCTCGGCCTCAGTTTTCTTGTTTGCAATGTGGGGCGTAACAGTAGCCCTACTTCATAGGGTGGTTGAGAGGATTAAATTAAGCTATACAAGTGAAAAAATGCTTAGAACAGTGCCTGGCACATATAACTCAATGTTAACCATTATATTAATAATAGGCATGATAAGAAATTGGAAGGCAGGTAGAGGAAAAATTCTTGAGTCAACAGGGCCTTTCAATCTCCAAAGTAGTCATATATTCATTCTATCTAAGAATGTGGGTTGATCCCATTTCAAAATTTATCCATTTATTTAGTAAAAATGTAGGGCCTACTATGGGCCATGCATGCAGCCAGGATATAACAGTGACGGAGACAAGTCCCTTTCAGCGTCCACAGGGTAGAGGGAGTGACAAACAAGTAGAAAGGTAGTTATGGTATTCTTAATAATTACAATGATGAGAGTTTGCGCAGGGTCTTAAGGGAGCATAGTATGTAGGCAGAGTCTTCTTGGTGATAGTGTTGAATTTGGGTGGGAGGAGAAATACACGAGTGATCCCCATCTGGCTGATCTTTGCCGGTATTGCATAGGCAGTGGATCTCTTGGGGAATTGTTAGTACTTGGTCTCACTGGTGGCACACCTCAATGGCATGCTCATGCCCCTTGGCATTCATTCAGTGACTCAGCTGGCAGCCCCAGGCTTTTCCCACTGCTCCCTGGGCTGCCATACTCCTGTCTCAGTCAGAGCTGATGGAGTGGGGAGCAGAGAAGTAAAGACAAAAAAAGAAACTGAATTTGCAGCCATGGACTAGTTGGATTGCTCTGTGTTCCTTAGGAAAGCATGAATGTCAGACTTGTCAGGGACTTGGAAAAGTTGATGAGTCCATCCTGCTGCTTAACTCTATGACCACCTTATTCAGCATAGTATGGAATCTGGGTGGGAGGAAAAAATACCGTTGTTTGACTGGGGTGGGTATTGGTGCTGTGACCCATCTTGTCCCCTCACTGGTGTCTTACAGTAAGCATCTGTTGTGTGACGTGATGATTGTGGCAGAAGATGTCGAGATAGAAGCCCACCGTGTGGTCCTGGCAGCCTGCAGCCCCTACTTCTGTGCAATGTTCACAGGTATGGTGTGGGGAAACAGTAACCCACAGCTATGAGGCTGTAGCCCTGCCCTGGGAGAATGTTGAGGGAGGCGGCACTAGGGGAGGGAGGAAAGAGAAGGCTGTGACACCCACCCTGAGGAGCTTCTATGTGCTAGGCCAATTGGGCAAGTAGTCCTTTGAGACAGAAAGAGGTAGCATCCTATAGTCCATAAGTTCTCAAACTTTGGCATGCTTCATAATTATGTGGGGAGCTTGTGAAAAATATAAACTTTTGGGTTGATCTCCATGCCTTCCAATCTCTCATTCTGCAGGTGAAGGACACTGAAGTAGAGAGAAGGGAAGGGACTTGCCCAGGTTACACAGAATGAGTGGAACTTGACTTCCTGATGGCTGCCCTCATCTTGTCCCTCCTGAGCCCTTCCTTAGAGGAGGGAAGGGGTTGTAGGAGACGTGATAGTGGGACCTGGGGTGGGGAAGAATAAGACCTAGAGATATTCACTATCAGTCATTCATTTTCAGCATCTTTGCCAATGTTCCAGGGAGTGCCTGTTCCCTGAGCATGCCAGATAGCCTTGCCCAACCATTTCACATGTGTTACTGCTGAAACTAAATTCCTTGAAACCCCTGGGCTGAGCTGCCTGTCTGTAGAGCCTCACAGCCTCTCCCCTGAGCTAGGTCCATGCAGTGCTCTAGACTGCAGTGCTCTAGACATCACTGCTGACTGGAGGCTGCTGGGCTGGGCTGGGCTGGGCTGGGTGAGACCATGGACTGGGTCAGGTGTCCCTTTCATCTGCTTGCTAAGGACCCTGTGCTTCCTCTAGTATGGTCACTATTGCTCTGTGTTCTTGTCTCTTTCCTGGTGTCTGCAGTGCGCAGGCTCTAGCGTCTCATAGATCAGGTGTTTCTTATACTGCCCTTTACAGTTCCAATGTCTCCACTTCCTAGAGGTCTCCTCTGACTGCCTAGCCATAGTTCCCCTCATAGTTAAGTCTCTTTTCCGTCCCATAAGTTGAGTACCATATTTTTTGGACCATAAGATGCACCTAGGTTTTAGAGGAGGAAAATGGGAAAAAGTTTTTTCAAGCAAAAAATGTGGCAAAATATTTAATAACATAAATAACATGATATTTCACCAATGTAAATATAAAGCTACATTCAGACTATAAGATGCACTCCCATTTTCCTCCCAAATTTGGGGGGATTGCATCATATAATCTGAAAAATACGGTATATTTTCAGTACCATTTAAAAATCGTGTTGATTGGTTATTTTTATGTTTTCTTACCTATTTCCCCTTACTAGAATATAAGCACCATGAAGTCAGGGATCTTGTTGGACTTGTTTGTTACTATGTCCTGAGTATATGGTGCCCAACAGGACTTGTATTTTTTAATTTAATGAATGAAAAGTCTCTCACACTTGATTGTGAGCTTTGGGCACTTGGGGACTATGTCTTGTCACTGTTGAATCCTCAGTGCCCACTATCAGGCTTCGTATTTATGGCACAGTCAATAAGTAGAGGTCGAAAGAGTGAACGTAGGCTTGCTAAGAACGGGTGAGTGCGGGCACAGTTGTGCTTCCATAGGCCCTAACCTTTTTCTTAATCCACTACACAGCCTCCGCTGGGCAAGAGTAGTTCCTGCTGGGCCGGACTTGACACTTGGGTTTTCCGAGTGCCTCACATGTGTGTCCCCCTTGGCTCATCATGTGGAGGAGTGGTGTCTCTGCTCAGTGGACCAAGTGACTCTTTCCTCACTTTGAACCCTGGGCTAGAAATTTCACAGTGGAACCTGTAAAACCAGATAATTTAACCACCTGGAAATTTGGAGCCACATTCTCTTTGAAACCCTAGTAGTAATGTTTTAATTTTTCTCCTCTCCTTCATTCATCTCTTTTTAAAAATATAATTCATTTTGTCTGCAATAAGTATTTAGCCAAAATTTCAATGAATATCTGTCAGACATTATTCTTGTGTGTGTTGTTCGGAAAGTCCAGTGCTGTGATAAGAATCTGTTTGGAATTGCAATATATTTAGTGTTGGCTCCACTTTCGGCTAATGAACTTGCCTCTCAGGTAGTGGAAGTGCCTAAGCAAAATGAAAATGACATTAGAAATGGAATAGAAAGTTGCTTTTCAGGCAGATCTTGAATTGTAGTAATTGAAGGGAGGAGAGAATCGAGAGAAGAAAGCAATTTAATGTGATGCCCAGCTGAAGCCGTCTGTTGATTCTGGTTACCATCCATCTGCCCACTAACTCATTAATCATGTATGTTCACTATGGAAAAAAAATGAGGAAATGTGGGCAAGTGAAAATATTAAAAATTACATGCAGTGTAACATCTAGATAACATTATGATTTATGTTCTTTGAGATTTAGATACCAATGTATAGATACCAATTATATAATATTGAGTTCATTTTACATATATACAGTTGAATATCCTCTTTTGAGGTATATACTTAAAAAAATTGCTGTTCGTCTTCCTGAAGTGTTCTCCCTCCCTGCCTGTTTGCCTGCCTAATTCCTATTCACCTTTCATTACCACTTATGCATCATTTACTCAGGAAGGCCTTCAACAATCCCCTTGGATTAGGTTAAATCCCTTTGCTATTTACTCTCATGGTACCCTATGTTTCTCTTCGGTATTACTGCTTATCGCATTATTTCCTCAATATCTGACTTCCCAGGTCAGTCATAAGCTTTATGAGGGTAAGAACTGTACTTTTCTAATTTGATGCTTTGTTCCCACTGTCTAGCATGGTCTTCCATTGTGTAGATGCTCAATGAAAATTTGCTTAATTGAGTTTAACAGTATATTGTAACTATCTTTTCATGTCATTTAAATCACATCTGCAGCATCTCCAAGCGTCCCTAATGGCTTCTTAAGATTCCATCATATGTATCCTAATTGAAAATGCATTTCCTTATCGATTGGAAATTAATAGGCATGTTATTCCTATGAATCTTTACTTACATTACTGATTATTTCCTTAGAATAGATTCCTAGAATGGGAAATATTTGGTTCAAGGGTGTGTACATTTTGAAGACTCGGAGACACGTGCCACAACTGCACTGCCCTCGGACGGTCGTATCAGCTCATGCTCCATCAGCAGTAGACGAGATTTGTGTATTTTTTGAGGCCCCTTGGCTTTGCTTGGGAAGCAGACAACATTGCTTGAACCTTGGTAAACAGGTAACATTGCAAAATTGTGTTCTGATGATCAAGTTCAGCTTTAAACTGCATACAATTAGTAATGGAAAGGCCGCTGACTCATCATGCAAGGCCTGTTTCTGTCGGCGTGTTTAAGGCCAAAAAGAAAACGAGATGCAGGCGACTCTCTTGTAGCTTGACCGGTGCTGTCATCATTTTTCACTCAGGCTTTAAAGGGGTTTTATTCTTTTGTCCTCTGAGTTTATATTGCCCAAATGTCCTGTGGTATCCAAATACCAGCTGTACTCTTGACCATGGCCTGCTCACAATAATTTGGAATAAATGTGAAACGGTGGTCTGAGTGCCCACAGCAGAGTGTCTAAAGGCAGGCAGCCTGTGGGAAGACCCGGGGCCGGCAGTCTCCCTAAGGGTCCTGCACACCTTCAGCTTGGTGCCATCGCAGAGGCCAGCGGTGCTGCGATCTGCCCACCTTTTTCTCGTGAGTGTGGAAGATTCCCCCCACCCATCTCTCCCATCTAAGACCTCTCTCCCAGGGGTGCTAATTTTCCCGAAATAGCCTAGTCAGTTTCTCCTTTTGTCATGCCCTTTACTGGGGGTCTCCCACAGTGTTCGTACTCCATATTGGTCCCTACATTTTGTGTAAGTAGTTTAAGAACAACCCCGTTTTACGGTGTTAAAGGAAGTGAGTTTAAGGAATATGTGGGCTCAGGGTCTTATGCCCATCAACACGCTGCAAGGGGTTTGGGCTCCCGTTCCAAAGGAAGCCCCTGCAGTGAGCTGTCCCGTCCTCCTGGTTCTGTATGCAGGAGCTGGTTATAGATGGTTTTTGTTTTTTTAAAGAAGAATTGCTGTCCAGTTTTTATAAGATGTAGGCTGATGTTTAGCTCTGGTGTCTTTAAACATGTAGTGAGTAGAAATAGGGAGGAGAGTCAGGAACGTGCCGGGATCAGAGGCGAGGGGCAGTGCATTTGAGTGAACTTGAACTATCCACAAGGCACAGCAGTGGAGGCCCGGCTCTCTTACTCGCTTTCCAGGTATGCGCTCCTTTCACAGAACTTTGTTTCCACCCCTTCTTCATGCCAGACTCTGCCAGGCCCTGACCCTTGTTTGTGTTCTCTCTGTTTGCGTGTTGTACTGGTGCCTTTGAAGATCTTCACGGTAACATGCTGCTCAGTAAGACTTAACTCAAGATGTTGGGGCCCGGAGGCAGGGAGTACTAGGGAACTGAATTTTCCGTGGATAAAGGAGGCCAGAGGGGAGGGTGTGGAGTAGGAGTAGTGAAAGGGGTCTGGTTTCTGAGAGTTTGCCTTCAGGAGTCAGGGGTTGGGTAGAATAGTTCAGAAAAAAAAGATTGGAAGCTTCCAAGGCTGCTCGGGATTAAGGAAGAATGGCCTTATCTTCCACATAACTTGCCTTTAGCTCTGTGCTGAAGTTTAAAGTTAGTTAGCTCTGGGCTGAAGTTTACAATGACATAGGGTTTCTTTTTCCTGTCCCTAAAAAGTCAAAGCAGAGTCAGCCATTCTTTTCTAGCTTAAGAGACCCAGATTTGAGGATGAGGGGTATAGTACTCTTGCCTAAAAATATGTTGCTCTTGGTGCAGAAATGATGAGTATTTTTAAAGAATTGATTTCAGGCTCTGGCTGGTGTAGCTCAGTGGGTTGAGTGCGGGCCTGTGAACCAAAGAATCGCAGTTTGATTCCCAGTCAGGGCACATGCCTGGGTTGCAGGCCAGTTCTCAGCAGGGGGCCCACGAGAGGCAGCCGTACATTGATATTTCTCTTCTTCTCTCCTTCCCTTCCCCTCTAAAGATAAATAAATAAAATCTTTAAAAGAAAGAATTGATTT